TCTTTGAGCAGTTTCTTGGCATGTCTAATGTGTTCTTCCCCGCGACCTGTAGTCAGCCTGCTGAGGTTGCCTGGTCCTGCTGTTTTAGAGTGGTCGAAGAACTACAGGCCAAGCAGAACAGGACTTTGCTTGTATTTAATTTGTAGTCTAGCGAAAGAATACCGGTTTACAGTGTTGGATCTCCCAATTCCAGGAATAGAGTTCTTACATTTACATTTTTCAGTAAACTTTCATTATTTCATTTGTCTCTTGTATACTGTTTATTCCTACTTGTATTATTGCTTTTTCTTGCTGTTATAATTGAGATCTTCTCCCAGTTGCAGTGTACAGATGACTCTTAAAAAGACGAGCTTTTGCTTAAATGTATAGTTCCTGACCCGAGTGGGATTAAGCTATTAAGACTGTTGCCTCTCTCCCTTTTTTTTTCTTTCTTTTTTTTTTTTTGTCTTTTTGAGACAGGGTCTTTCTGTGCAGTTCAGGCTGTCCTTGAGCTCACTTTGTAGCCCAGGCTGTTCTCAAACTTGCAATAATCTTCCTGCCTCAGCCTCCCTAGTGCTGGGATTACAGGTGTGTGCCAAGACTGTTGATTTTTAAGTTTGATGCATTTGGTTAGCAGTCATTGTCTGAACTTACTGTAATTGTTTCATTTCTGACGTTTTGAGTCTCTGTATACTGTGAGTTACAGAGCTAAGGTGGTTATGGGATTGAGCTTTGACCTCCTCGGTGGTATTCAGCTTTTCCTTTTTATTCTACAGGTCACAGCAAATAGTGATTAAAGTGAAACTGGACGATTTTGTGCACATTTGGTATTTGTTTTCAGAATACCCAGAAGATAATTGAGGCAGGCTGTTTACCAAGCAGCCTGTGTCTATCTGCAGAGCCGGTTGTTGCTTTAATACGGAGTATAGAGGAGTGAGCCTGTCCCTGGGTACCAGACTCGGTCACCGCTCTCCTGTGGAAAGACCCGGGGTCATGGGGTACAGCGGGCCTAACCTAGTACTTATCCTTCGGAACTGGTATGTGAGCAGGAGGTTTTTACTCGTCAGTTAGAGCTTCCCTAAATACATTCTCTGTAAAGCATTTGATCTTTACCCCTAACATCTGTGCCTTAAGAATGTGAAATCCATTTTAGATTCCAAGGTCTTATTTGCCCTGAACACTGAACAGATGTACCATAAATGCAGTGTGTGTTAACCTTTGTGAATTTATCTTTTAATGCTCTTTTCCTCCCTTAAATTCATGTTTTCTCCCTAACTTTTTTGAGGGGACTGGGGGTTTGAGACAGGGGTTTGCTTTATAGTTTAGGCTGTCATTGACTCACTGTTCAGCTCAGGCTGGTTTCAAACTTCCAGGGATCCTCCTGCCTCAGCCTTCCAAGTGCTGGGATTACAGGCATGTGCCATCATGCCTGGCGACTTAACTTCTTGTTGGTGAAACTACGGAAAGATTACTCAGGTTACTTGTTTCTTTTTCCTTTGTCCCTTTCTTCAGGGAAGTGATGATGGGGGGAGGTGGTAGTAGGGATTGGGGATGGAAATTGATAATTGCTGACATATCAAGTGAATTGTGAAGTAAACATTTGTATTTTACTTTGTTTTTTGGGGGGGTGGTACTAGGAATTGAGCCTAGGGCCTTCTCATTGAGCTGCCTCCCACCCGTTTTTTTATTTTGAGGCTGGGTATTGCTGAGTTGCTAAATTGTCCAGGCAGGGCTTGAATTTGTGCTCCTCCTGCCTCAGCCTTCCAGAGTGCTGTGATTACCTTTGTAGTTTTGCTGGCATCAGTGAAGCACAACTTCTGTGCATGATGATACGTGCCCTGTAATTCCACCAGTCTGGTAGGCTGAGGCAAGATGATCAAGAGTTTGAGCCTTCCTGAGCAATTTAGTAACTTGGCAAGACGTTGTCTCAAAATAAAATTTAAAAAGTGGGGAATACTGGGGATATAACTTAGTGCAGATACCCTAAGTTCAATCCCTATGCCACAGAAAGAAAATAAAACAACCCAACCAAATTATAAAAAAAAAACCCAAAAGCAAAACCCGTCGTATGTAGATTTCCTAGTTGTGAGCATGCCTGTTTCCCCCATGTTGAAATGATACTGAGTCATCATTACTCACACCACTGGGTGGTGTGTAAATACAGCAGTGCTGTGATGGACTGTAGAGATGCATCAGGCCACATGCTTCAGTCATCATTACTCACACCACTGGGTGGTGTGTAAATACAGCAGTGCTGTGATGGACTGTAGAGATGCATCAGGCCACATGCTTCAGTCATCATTACTCACACCACTGGGTGGTGTGTAAATACAGCAGTGCTGTGATGGACTGTAGAGACGCATCAGGCCACATGCTTCAGTCCCAGAGGGAGCTCTGATTTGGGGTCTTCGACGCAGGCCCTGATTTGACTGAGGCAAAGTAGAAACTATTTTAGATGGCTGTATAGTGTGGAGGAGCTTATAAGCAAAAACGCTAGTAGCTGATAGCTTTTATTGAGCATTGTGTTGTGTTCGAGTCATTGTAATGGGGGACTGGTCATTTTTGCCCTTGCAGTAACAGTGTGAAGGACAATTTCCTGTTCTTATTTTACAGGTGAAGAGATTAAGATTGAAGTTGAGTAACTGGTAGACTTGAGGTTCAAAGCAGCTGTTGGGCCCCAGGTCAAGTTGTAGAAGCAAAGTGGTATTTTTGGCAGGAACAGAGGGGGTGTGCGTGAGCTCACACACGTGTGTGTCCTCAACTGTTGGGAGTAGAAGGGCCAGGGCAGAATGTGCAGCTGGAGGGTGGCATGGTGCGGGCCCACTTGTGGCAGTCCTGGAATTTCAGTCTGAGTGCAACTTGTGTTCTAACAGTGGGATGGTTGACAAAAGCATGGTAGGACGAGTCCGAGGAACGTCCCTGTGGTTACGGCCTTCACCAGGCCCTTCTTCCTGCCCTGCTGTTGTGGCCTCAGTGAGAAGAGAATATACAGTCTCATGTTGTCTCAGCTTTTGATTTTTGGGGGGCCCAAGAGTTTAATTCACACTTCAAATGGAGTGTGTGCTATCTCTTCTCATTTTTAGATTGAAAGAGTGTGTAGAGAAAGATGGAGGTGGCTTGGGAGCAAATGAGGGGATGCAGGAGTTGGCTAGTTCAGCTCTTCACAACCTCCTGCAGGTCAGGAGGAGGCTGTTGCTTCTGGGTTTAAAGGCCCCCCATCTGTGTTTATTAAATATAGATGTTAGTACACACTTATACATACATATACTCATTCCAGATGCTCCTCTGAACTTTTTTTTTTGTCTTTCTGAGATAGGGTCTCACTGTGCAGTTCAGGCTGGCCTTGAGCTCACTTTGTAGCCCAGGCTGATCTCACTCGCAATGATCCTTCTGCCTCAGCCTCCCGAGTGCTGGGATTGCAGGCGTGCGCCACCAGGCCCGGCTGAACCTTTCTTGTACAGTTGCACTCACTGAGATGGAAGCTGTAGAAGCTCTCTGCCTTATGTCATTTAGCTTAAGCTTGGCCAGACTGTGCAGGTGCCAAGCACGGACCGCGTGCCCGTGTCTGAGCCCCGGTGAGACCCCGAGGCCTTGGCTTGGCTGTCATCCAGTCAGAAACAATGGGGCTGTCCCTGGCCACATCCGTACTCTGTACAGGCACTTGCACGAATGTGGCTGCTGCTCCTGCTGCCCATGTGGAAATGTTAAGGGTCCTTTGCCTTAGGCCGCTTACCCACAGGCCCCTCTGCTCTAGAGGCCTGCCCACAGCTGGGTCCCCAGTGGGTTGCAGAAGCAAAAGCAAACCTTTCTAGTGAGTAGCTGGGGCCCCACTTGGCTTTCCAGACTCAGAGCAGCAGCGCAGAGAGCCAGGCTCAGCACGGACAACTCCCAGGGGACATGCGATCTTTGGGGCTGTTCTTGGCGTGTGCTACATGTCCCAGTAAAATATTCCAGCGACTTCGTTCCTTTCTATCAGAATGGCATAACTTGGAGAGTTACAGTATATTTTCAAGGTCACTTTCAGACTAACCTTTTTTGATACTAATATAAATCCTGATATTTTATGAAAATACTTTAAATATGAAATTGGGCAGGGGATATAGGTAGGTCAGTGACAGAGCGCTTGTCTAGTATGCATGGCACCCTGGCTTTGATCCCCAGTACTTGAAATTATTCATAAACTTTCAGCTCACATTTGTAAAGCTTGATGTATATGCAAACATACTTTATAAGAAACATTTGACAGGAGAAACTTAAAAACCCAACAATTTATTTAAAGTTTCATGTTATGCAGAATTCACCTTCCTTTTGGTGTGACGTCATTTGTAATTCTGAAATTAGCAGAGATGAACCCTGGAAGTACTCTGCTCTGGCCTCTTTCCTTGGGGATGATTTCTGCTTCTGTGCACACTCCAGTATTGCAGTACCTGAGAGTAGCTGTATACTGTGGCTGGCTCCTGGCCTCGGGCCTTGGCCTGCAGACCATGCTTTGAGTTATCTCTTTGCCTAATGGGGGAGGGGCTACGATTCTGGTTTTTGCTCTCTGTGCTGTATGATCGACCACAAGATACATGTATATTGTAAGAAATAACGAATGTTGGGTGCTTTCCTATCACTTTCTTGCTCGCTTATTGTACCAGAGATTCTGGGTACGGGAAGGGGAAGGTGAACACATTTCAGTTGAGACACGTCTTCTGTTTGTGTGGCTTGTCCCATTTGCTGGCATTATTTATATCTTTCTATTAAGTTCACGTTTAAGTAGCATTTTGCAGCTACTGAGACATTCCCATTTCACCTTAGAATTCACATGAAAATTTCACAAACTTTTAACATGTAGTTGGAAATTTCACTTTATTATCAATCTTTGTTTCTAAGAGATAAGTCAGTAGTAGCACGTTATTTCTTACTTGCAATTTTTAAATTGAGATAGCAAAACATTTGTTTATTTTCACTTGTGAGCTTTTTAAAACATTTTCTGGTTTGAAAATAAATGACACTGAATTTTCTCTTTTATTTTAAAGACTTCCAGCTGAACTCTCATCTCTCAACACTGGCAAATATTCATAAGATCTACCACACCCTTAATAAGCTAGTAAGTCAGTCTTTTTAAAGATGAAGCTACCAACTGCTTAGTCACTTTGTGCACATGTATTTGATTTAAAAAATTAAATTGTGAGTATCAGTTGCTTTTGAAAATAATGAATTTTAACTTGATTGTCTAGTGTGTGATTCCTGGTAATAATAAAGGTATTTCTTACAGAATCTAACAGAAGACGTTGGCCAAGACGATCACCAAACAGGTATCTGTAAATGCTAACACTACTTAATTTTAAGTAAATGTAATACTACAGAGTTATGAGACATGGTAGCCACACACGTTCTGTACTCCACTGAGAGGATGTTGCGTGCTTGAAGGTATTTTTCAGAGTGTAGTGTATTACAGTTCCTGCTCAGTAGCAGGAAGTATTCTGAGACTCTGGTTACGGCAAAGCACTTTAATTCCTTTGAAGGGGCTAGAGATTCTCTGATGGTTTCAGGATACCTTCCTCCCTTCTCTCTACTGAAGCATTTTAGTTTATATCAGAAAAGTACTATAGTAATGCAATTTGAAAGGCATTCCATAAATACTTGTTAAATAGGGGTGAAAAACGATTTGATAAGTAGGTTCACGTGTGCGTGCGTGCGTGCGTGCGTGCGTGTGTTTTATATAGGTCTTGAGGGTAATGAGTGGGAAAATTGAAACTTGATGATATAAATTATTCTCTAGCCCTGCGGTTCTCAGTTTAGCTAGCCTTGTATTCTTTGTGCTAGGGCTTGTTTAAAACACAGATTGCTGGAAGCTACCCCCGGAATCTCCGATTTTCTGGATTTGGAGGGAACACTCAAGGGTTTGCGTTTCTAACAGGTGATGAGACAGCTGGTCTGGGGGCCACACTTGGAGCACCACTTCTCCGAACTGTTAGTGACTATGAAGTTTAGAAACTGTATTAGATCTGTAAGTTACTACAGTGGTAGCAAAAATTGTTACAGAATGTTTTAAAATTTGAAGGTTACTACAGTAATATGTGAATCCATGCTGTTTTAGTCTGTTCAGGCTACTGTTTAAAAAAATACCTTAGACTGGGTAATTTATAAACAACAGAAATGTATGCCTCACAGTTCTTCGGGCTGGGAAGTCCACACTTGGGGTACTAACAGATTTGGAGTCTGGCGAGAGCGTGTTCCTCGCTGATAATGTCCTTCTGCTGTATTCCCACAGGGTGAGAGGAGGCACCCTCTAGGCTTCATTCCTAAGGGCACTAATCGAGGTCATGAAGGTAGAGCACATTCCCAGAGGCCCCACCTCTTTACACCGAGACACTAGGGATTAGATTTCATCGTAAGAATTTTGGAGCAGTGCAAACTTTTGAACCGCAGCAGTGCTTGTTGGAGAATTTTAAAGAGCACAGAACTAATGGAGTGAGAAGTAGTGGTCGTTTCAGTTTCTCCCAGGACACTATTTCATGTTGACAGTTTCAGACATTGGTATGCATGGGTTTGTCTATCATGTGCTTGTGTTTTCACTTAGCATTCATTTCTTCATTGTTCTCTTAAATAATGAAACAGAATAAAATGAACCTGAATTCAGCCTTGAATAAAACTGTACCCTTACTGCTTTCCTGAAGGTCCAGTACCACATCAGGAAAGAGCTTCTGGTGAAGGGTGGGTTGTTTCAGTTTCGCTGGCCATCGTCTGTAGAAATGCTGGCAACCCTCTGATTTGTGAAGATAAGATACCTGCAGAAGTGGTTGGTGCCAGGGACGTAGCTCGGTTCTAGACCATTTCCTCCACTGCGGGAGGCTGCCCGGCTCAGCCTCCAGTACTGAAAGAAACCAGTACTTTCTAATCGTCAGTGTGTCACAACATCAGTCGAGGTATTTTGCCTTTGCCTGTAATGTCACATGGTCTGCAGCTCATTCTCTGAAGCAGACAACTCTGTAATATTCTTGCTTGTGAATACAGTCCTGTTTTTATAGTTTCATAGCTTAAAGATTTATAGTTTAAATTTTTTGAGACAGGATCTTGTCTGTGTAATTGAAATAGATTAAATGATAGAAGTGTGAATCAGTGGAGTCAGAATTTAATGAGACAAATAAATATAAATTTGTGGAACATTTAGATTTTGATATTTTTATTAAAAAAACTTGCCATTTTTTTTTTTTTTTTAAGACGCAAATGTTTCCATATTTATGTTTTTAAAAATTGTACCTGGCAGGAAACTTACAATCAAGAGTTTGTTTTGCTAACAGATGGGATAAGAAGTCAGAAATGATGGTGTATTGTGAGAGGAGGTGAGACGGGGCTTGCAGACTTCAGCTCTCACTGCTCATCTTTTCTATCAATAGTCATACCTATTTCAAGTTCTGGAAATGTACTCTGATTTTTAACCAGAATTTGACTTATGCATGTTTTAGGAGTGCATTTATACGACGAGTAATGCAAGTCCACTGAATGGCTCAATAATGTAAATATCTTTTTACTGTAATAAGACACTTTATTAAACTTCTATCTGCACAAGTAAACTGAAAGGACCCTGCAAACCAAGATAAACCTTTACGTGTGCACTTAAGAAATCTTAGTTGTTCTTGCTTAGCTGAGATTGGCAGGTGAGGGACGGAGCAGTTTGGGACAAATAGCTTAGTTAGGTGTCTTATTGGCTTAGTTCATATGGGCAAGTTATTAAGTAAACATCTTTTCTATCAAACTCTGAAACAGCTTTTTCAGTAGTGAAACTTTTCCTATCATCTTGGGTCTTAGGGTGGTGGTTTTTGGAAGAACTTGGCCACGTGACCCTTGGGCATTTGCTTCCCTGGGACTGAGCGCCCCATCCTTCCTGTGAGGTGCTGGCTGCGAGCCTGGCCAGTCTAAGTGTTGGCCTTGGGTGGATATCAGGGAGGCTGAATAGACTTGGCATGTTGGTGAACACTGGCCCTGAAACAGTCCCTGACTTTAAAAGAGGATCATGTCTCAGCTAGGAGGTAAAAGTTTTGAATAAATAGCCAAATTTGTCAAGTTCCAAATACATGTTAGGTTTTTCACAGATGCAAGAAAAAAATGATATGAAACTTTACAGAGAGAGCATTCAGGAAAAAAATGTTATATTACTCTTTGTTGGTTCACTGAAAACATGCTATGCTTAACAAGTAGAGTTCAGAGAAAGCTGGGCATGAAACCATTGTTTATGAAGAAGCAGATGGTAGAGAAGCTGTTGGAGAAGACATTATTTTAAAGTATGCCTTTCCTATGGACTGAGGAGATAAGTGCATTTTCCTTTGTTCGGCACATACTTGCAGACTGGGCAGGTTACTGCCAGGCCAAACGCTCAGAACATAGCCGTGACTGCTCTCGAAAGAAAATGTCTTTCTTTCACATGCACGCATCCGGGGAGGGGGAAGCACACTCCATACGTGGTCTTCATTTCAAGGCAGCATCACAGGTTTCACAACTAGGTGGGAAGACTTCTTCCTTCTGCAAGCCCCGTCTGAGGCATTGATTGACAAGGACAGAACCTTTTCCTGTATGTTGGCAGCCTGCGAAAGCTTGGGTCACTCCAGTTCTTTGGATCTTTTAGTATATTTCAGTTTTGTTTGTAAGCAAGGCACCATTTTATAGAGATGAGTGGAATGTGGGTGAGGGGCAGTTCTCTGACTTCAGCTCTCACTGCTCTAGGGGAGGTTTTGAGTTTTGAGACAGGATCTTATTTATGTAGTTTAGGATGGTTTCTACACTCACTGTCTATCCCAGGCTGGCCTTCAACTTGGAGCCTCCCAAGTGCTGGATTATGGGATTGTACCACTGCTTCGCCTCACTGCTTTTGTAGGGAGACACAGGGCCGGGATTGTAGCTCAGCAGCAGAAGCTCCTCCTGTAGGGAGAGAGAGAAGCGTGCTTTCTGTCTCTGCTGATCCCCTTACTTCCCCTCCTTGGAAGGACAGGTCTAGTTGGGCCCCAGGAAATGTGGCTGAACGTCATTTCAGACTGCTGTATCTGGGCTGAGGGAGCAGGCAGCCTGTGTGAGCACAGGTGTTATCCACTGTAGGCTCAGGGCAGGAGCCTCGTGTGGGTGGCCACTTGAACTCCTAGCAGAAGGGATATTTTGGGGGGCTGGGGATTTAGCTCAGCGGTACAGCACCTGCCTGGCAAGCGCGAAGTCCTGAGTTTGATTCCTGGTACCGGGGGAAAAGAAAAAGATATTTTTGCCTGATACCTCCCGAGGCATATCACCCTAGGAACTTGGCATGATGGCCGAGTCTAAATAGAACCTGGGTTCAGGTTCGAGGCCTGATCTTTGCTCTTAGCAGGGTTGTGACCTCAGCTGTTGGCAGAGTTGTAACTTCCTTGCCTTCAGAACTAGTGTCTTGACAGAGCTCTTTACATTCACTGTGTCCGTCCACTCTCTATCCATCCACACTCTCACTGTGTGCCTTCCTTACCTGATGGACCTGTGTATGGTAGCACACATCCTCCTCAGAACTTTTCTCTATGAGGTTGTCACCTTTTCCCGCCCCTTGAATGTCCACTCCCCCAGGGATCCCTCCTCAGCATGCTGCTTCAGAGTCTGCTTTTATGACCTCTCGGTGGTGGTAGCAGACAGGCTGAGAGTTGGTGTTGCTGCTGGGCTGCATGTACCTAAACCCAGCGGTTAGCACCAAGCATTTATTGAATGGATGTTTTTCTTTCTCAAAATGCTGATAGACACCACCATTCCCATTCTTGAAAAGATGAATAAGAGAACCAGGCTAGGTTAGTGGTTGCGTAGACCACAGTTGGCGAAGAGCTGGAGCTTGCTCATTATGGTGGTTCCTGAACCCCTAGCACCTTCACATGGTGTCCTGTCCGCAATGCTCAGTCAGAGGCCAGGGCCTTCAGCCGAGGGACAAGGGAAGTGTGTGGCCTAGAATTCATCTAGGTGTGTGGCCTTGGATAGTCACCTCAGTGCCTGATCCTGGGTTTCCTCTTCTGTTAGAGATAATTAACCCTTCATTCAGGGTTATTTTGGGAACCGAATGACAGTTCTGATAGCATTTGCACCTAAGTAAGATACTTAATTATCTTATAATTACCTTGTAATTTATAATGGTTTAAGACAGTCTGAAGCTAGACTGCCTGCATTTGAATCCCAGTCTTGCTGTTTACTTAACTCCTTTTTGCTTCATTTTCTTGCTTGTCTCAGGCAAATTTTTCTTCATAGCTTTGTTATGAGCTTAGCTTAGGTAATACGTGCAAGTGTTCAGAACAGGGCCTCGCTCACAATAAGTTCTCAATAAGTGGTCGATGTTGTCATTACTATCTTTTGTTAAATTTTGATACCTTTTACCAAATGAAAGTTGTGCTGTAAACCTTGACTGAAAGGCAGAGTTCTTCCAGAGTACATTTATTTTTTTGTTCTAATTAGATATCTCTTGAACGTTGTGTTAAGACTGGTGTGCCTGTGTGTATTTCAGAGTGAAGGTTACTGGTTAAGCTGGCTTTGCCTCATGAAGTGTATAAATATGATAGTAGGACAGTTATTCAGGAAGGAACACTGTCATATAAGAGGCACAGAACATTTTAGGTGATTTCCATTAGATTTTGGGGGACTACATTGAAATTTCATTCATTTCTATTTCTGGTGTGATTTAGGGTGGTGGGGAGAATTCACTTGTTTGTGTCATTGCTAAGTTCACTTGTTGGCTAATATTTTTTCAAAGTAACTAAAAACCATTTTCTCTCTTTATAGCATCTTCTGATAATATCTAAGCCCTTTGTGTAGTACAAGGCATGGGTGTTTCTAATTCAGCAGTAGTAATGCTGCTTGAAAGAGTTATTGTGTGGCATGCTTTAACTTTGTGTTCTCTGAATTTGTCCTGTAGGAAGCCTACGGTCTTGCAGTTCTTCGGACTGCTTTAGTAAAGTGATGCCCCCAAGGAAAAAGAGAAGACCTGCCTCTGGAGATGACCTATCTGCCAAGAAGAGTAGACACGATAGGTATGGTGCAGAAACTAGATCCAAATCGATGACATGCCTGTTGAAGATGGCCACTTAATCTAGCTTGAGACACCTTAATACACAGCTGGAACATTGTTTTGGTTCTGCCAGATAATCTTTCAGACTGTAATTATTTAATGGTGGTTGTTTTATGTCTAGGTTTATAAGACATAAAAACCAAATAGGTAATTTGAGTTCTTAAAAAGGAGTGTTATTGTAACATACTCGTCCACCGAAACTAGGGTAGCATTAGTTTTTCCTTTGAAGGCCTGAGTCTCTGCCTGTTGAGGACCACAGGGTTGGTGGTGTCTGCTCTTTCATGGCTTTTTCACTATTGTTGCCACAGGGCTAAAGCACTGCACCAAGTGCTCTGTCTCCTTGGAATGTTAGCTGTGCTGGGATTTATTCTCAGATGGGTGAGAACTTTATAAAAGCTGCAAAAATAAACTGTTCACCCCCTTCCCTTTCAGACAGTTGATCTGTTAATTTTGGTAACTCCAAAGGAGTGTATGTTTATTTTAGGCATTTTTATTATGTCACCTCTTCCCCTCTAACCTCCCTCTTCTTCTTTTTCCCTCCTTTTTTGAGATGAGGTTTTGCTGTTTCCTGAATTTAAAGCATTCCTCCTGCCTCAGCCTCCTAAGTATGTGGAACTAAAGGCACACACCACCCTTGAGCTCTTTTCTTTTTTTTTTTTTTTAAAGAGTAAAAGAAGGATAACATAGTAATAGAGGGGCTTACCGAATTACAGGGTGGTAGGAAATTATCAGTGGTTGTTGTTTTATATATTGTTATCTACAAGAAAGTTTCTCAGGAAAACAGATAGACAAATAATAGTGAGTTACAGACAGAAGTGGTAAAAGATTATCAGTGGTTGTTGTACTATACTTTGGTATCTTCAAAGTGGTTTCTAAAGAAAACAGAGCTATACATGAGTGACCAATTGAATATTCATTGACTATTCTCAATGGTTGTTGTAGGAAACACATAGTAATAAACATACATTGTGAAAAATAGTGTATTGCCTCCTCACCAGTGACTCCTTTCACTGACATGTGATGGCTGGAAGGAAGGCCAGGATTGAAAAGGAGGACTGAGAGACTTGCACCTGTGTCTAGCAACGGGCTGTTTTCTTTTTCCTCTATAGTCATGATTACCCGGGGCTCCTCCATGGAGATGACAATCTGGCCAGAGGGAGAAGACAGAGTATTCCCCAGGCCCCCTCATTCCTGTTGGAGTAACTGGTAGGTTGGGTCTGATCTCTGGGGCCTCTGCTTCAGAGGGCAGACTGATCTCCAGTGGTCACCTTTGCATTCAGGGCATGGCCCGGGGGTCTCTTAGGGCAGTTCCTCTTGAGGTGGCCTGGCTTTTCACCGTGGTAGCAGATGAATGCAGTTGTCGAGTTCTTCTTGGGGCCCCGGGAATCAGACTTAGGGTCTGTTTCTCTTAGTGCTGCAGCAAAAGCAGCTGCTTTTTCTTGGTTTCTTTGTTTTTTCTCCTTGGCCTCCTCCTTGTCACAGTATAGAATACTGAGGAGGCAATTCTTACTAACCTGTCAAGTGAGCCATCTGGGACGAAAGCCATTCTTTGTAGCTTTTTCTCTCCAGCCTCCCAGCTCATTGGGGCCTGCAACCACTTAGTGTCCTCTCCCCAGTCGTCAGTTTTGTTTTTTTTTTAAAACAAGGAAAAAAGCATAGTCTAATCTTTTCTCCCTTTTCATCTTAGCCAGCTCTGGCTCTGTGGGTCACTTTGCTAATGGGCTGGAATTTCCACATCTATAAATCAAGGGGATTTAGGTGAAAACTTCCATTTTTCTCTTACTGTGATGTTTCGTTACTACAGCTCAGTTGGAGGGGTAGAGATACGAACTCTGAAAATGAGAAAATAGTGCCACCATTGGCATCACAAGCTGTTTTGAAGATAATTGCCGGCAGTCTGTGGGCCACTGGTTTTTAGTTTTACAAAGCCATGTTACTTGATCATTTCAGTGTGGATGTTATTATTGGGGAATTATAAATTCTCATAATCACATGGCATTTTGTTCCTATTTAGCACTTTTTTTTACTAGCCTAATATAATTTAGTGTGTAAAACTGAATTAAGAACTCGCAGCTGAATTGTAGTTTCTGGGTGTTATTCTTGCGGTTGGTCTCTTTTTTTAAAAAACAACTTTCTCTAGGGCCGGATTAAAATGTGTACACTCATAATATCCAAATCATGGTGTTAAAGCTGCTGCTGCTTCTCCCCTGTCCTTACAGGGAAGCTCTTCATCCTCAGCCCCGGTTCTGAGCTCACAGCTCCTGCTGAGCTGCAGGAGGAGGCTGCGTGTGGGGTTTCAGCTTAGGCAGGCTGCTCCACCTAAGTACTGGAGCCAGGGCACTCTGATTTATCCTGGAGATTGGAAGGTTATGGCCATCAGGGAGCCATCCAAGAGACTTTGTCTTGTCAACCTTACACCTGAATTTTTTTCAAGAAAGCATGGATATGAATTTATTTCTTTTTGTTTGCTTAATATTCTCTGTGTTGCCTGTGATTGATTGACAGGTGATTCTTTAGGCAGTGCTTTGCCTGACAGTAACTTAATGGAGAGGTGTTTTTTTAGGATCATAAATTGAAGAAAACACCTGAGACATTTTTTACTGTTGTTCTATATTTAATTCTCATTGGCCAGGTAGACAAGAGTATATCAAATAACTTGTATTTAATTCTTCTTTTTTTTTTTTGGTCTTTTTGTCTTTTTTGGAGATAAGGTCTTGCTCTGCAGTTTAGGCTGGCCTTGAGCTCACTTTGTAGCCCTGGCTGGTCTTGAACTCACAACGATCCTCCTGCCTCAGCCTCCCGAGTGCTGGTTCATGATTTTTTTTAATCAGCAAAAAACCTGTATTAAGTGCTGTTTAATTCTTAAATGAAGGTATGACTGTATTTCAACACTAGTTGTAAAAGCTTAAAGTTGCAAATGCAGGAAGTAAAATGTTTACAGTGTTTGTTTTTTTTTTTTTTTTCTGGTACCAGGGATTGAACTCATGACCTTGCACTTGCCGGGCATGCACTGTGCCACTGAGCTAAATCTCCAGCCCTGGGAAGTAAAATGTTTATACTTCATATTGATTAAATAGATGGCTGCTTAAGTGAAAGAGTAAAAGTTAACCTGCTATGTCGAAGAACTCAGTACCCTTAAATAACCTAAAACTGCTTTTTCAATTTTTAGCATGTATCGAAAATATGATTCAGCTAGAATTAAAACTGAAGAAGAGGCCTTCTCAAGTAAGCGGTGCTTGGAGTGGTTCTATGAATATGCAGGTAGGTAATGATTTAGAGCATGTAAGACTGATCTAGTGAGAATAAGAAGCACCTTAAACTGGGCATGGTGCTGTGTGTTATAATCCCAGCACTGTTTGAGGCTGAGGCACAAGGACCATAAGTTCCAGCCCAACCCAGGCAATTTAGTGAGACTCTGTCTCAGAATAAAAATTTACAAAAGGCTGGGAATATAGCTCATTGCAGACTGTGGGTTCAATCACCAGCACCAAAAATCAGTCAATACATGCATCCTTCATGGAAGTGAAAATACTTTAAATTGTGTACCTTCAAATTCAGTGCATAAGAATGAATATGTGCTGTACATGTGCTTATACCCCTGTTGGAGAGTGTAAGGAGGGACATGGTTGAAAGGAATCACTAGATGTTCTATTTATAGTCAGCCCCTAAGCCAAAGAATTCAGAACATTAGAAGGGAACTGAAAAGATGAAACACTTGGGAGAAATACCCTGGATTACTAGGAAACCTGCTTAGATTACTGATCATGGATCATTATTTGGTTAAGGCCGTGAAGTTAAAATAAGCTTTGCATTTTGAACCCTCAGGTAGTGCAGTGGAATTTCTTTATATTGAGTGTCTCTATTTTAAAAGATTGTTCAGCAGAAAGTATTTATTTTATCATTTAAAAATCCTAAATTCAGGTTTATTTTTGCAACTTACTGTAATTGGTTGGATAATACAGTATTACAGTCTAGAGTTGTTTATTGTGACTGTGTATGGTATAAGAAGGAGAAAAATTTTCAGATAAAGCTTGAACTGTCGGCTCTTTGCCCTTTCTTCTTCCCTCCATTTCAGCTATCAATTTACCTTACCTATCAACTTGACTGTTTCAGCAACTTCAAGTCAGTTTTCTTTTTTTTTCATCAGTCTGTATTCTAAGTCAAGTCCCATGTGTCTCTCACTGTCTTTGGGAGGAAAAAAAAGACTGCACAGATTGTACATGTCACCTGATGATATCCCCACCTCTACCCCTGCTTTAAAAAATCCTCTGTTACCTGTGGGATGAAAAGAACTCACTGTCCATCTCCTGGGGTGCTTTTCTCCACACTTTCATCTGATAACTGTTCTTTTTAGTTCTGCTTTACTGATAGTGAAAAGCCTGTATTAAATGCTAGCCGTTTAATTCTATGTTAAAGTATGACTCCTTACACTGCATATCTTAAGCCCCTTAGTTAGCTCGATAGCCTTCTTTGTACTCCTTTACACCTTCGTTCATTACTTGTGTTGGTCCCTCGTACTGAGTATCAGGAGGACGCTTTAGCCCTGTGGCCTGATCTCGTCATTTCCCCTCATCCTCACTCTACCTTTTGTCTGGTAAGAGCCTTGCACACAAGAGATTGGTCCAGGACAACCAAAGTGTTCTTGGAGGTTTTCAGATTTAAACTGAAAGAAGAACGTCTTTCTCTTCTGGCAGATTTGAAAGGACAGTCCTGATTCCTTTAGTTTTTCTTTGGACACTTTTGGATTTTTGTGAGATAACTCCAGTATTTTTTGATTCTCATTAGTTTCAATTGGATTTTGTTCAAAGATGTTGTCACTAGTATAGACACTTCTATGGTATTAGAATTTATCTGTTTTCGTGTTTACTTTGTTAGAACATGAATCTTTTGAAGATATTTTATAATCTTGCTAAAAGTGGTTGACACTTCGCCAAGGATTCAGGAAATGGGCATTGAATGAAGTATGATTCCATATTCCTGTTACTTTGATATGAAGATCTTTTGCTTTCCTATATTAACGCTTACTTTAAGAAAATGTACTATAAAAAGGAAATTTTAAACCAAATCCCACCAAAGTATATGTCTCTCTTCATAAACAGATGTAAACATCTTTAAAAAAAAAAAAAGAACAGAGTAGAATTTTCTTGTTTGCTGTTTTTTTTTTTGTTTTGTTTTTCTGTGCAGAAAGGTCACATTTTAGAATAAAGGTTGAGCACATTATTTCAGTTCCTTGGGGGTCCCTGCTGGGCCACTGCTTGTAATTTATGCCTCTGAGAAGTTTGTGTAGATGTGTTTATCCCTCCTTACCTCTTTTTAGCCTTTTCCTTTTTTTGCTTCTTTTTGTGTATCTTATCAGAAGGGAACGAGCCTTCAGATTGGGAATAGCTGAAAGCCCCCATTGGCCCCCGCCTTCACCTTGAGTACACCCTTCGTGAGTTAAGTATAGGCCAGTACTGTCTGAGACAACCTGGGAGAAGAACCAGGATGACTGACGGGTGTGCTGTGAGGTGCGTCCATGGGTGTGGGCTGTGAGGCCTCGTGAAGAAGGCCTGCATGCCACGGCTGGGTCATTTTTCTCAGCAGCTGACTCCCGGCTTTCTGAGCTGGAGGGAGACGGCAAGGCAAGGGCAGGAGCCTGGAGTGAGTGTAGCTGTTGGACGTGGGCAGACCCTTAGTTCTTCCCAGAGTTCTCGGTTCTGCTCCTCACACTGTGCTGTCTTTCTGTGGGCCTCACCAGCTGCGCCCTCCCAGCCTCTGGCTCGTTCCAGTCCGGCCTTGTCCATTCTGGGATATTGCTTCTCACTTTTTAGAAATTCCTTCCAGCTCTGTTTCTTTTTCCCAGAAGTCTGATATAACCCCCTCTCCTGGGTCTCTGCCTACTCCCTGGTTGTAGCTGTCCTCCTTTGTTCACACTGGTACTGCCGTTCTCTGTGCGTTGAGATAGGCTTGGCTGGGAGCAGGACGGAGTGTATCATGTTGGCATCCGTCTGAAACTGGAACTCATTACTTTCTATTGGAGTGAAAAGAAATGTTTCACATAAAAAACTTTGTCAAATTACCTCCATTTTCTGAGGCCTAAGAATAAATTAAGCCAAATACACAGGTGCCAGTATTGATCACACTAAAGCTCACAATGCATAGAGCGTACTGAGAGGGCACATTAGTTCTGCAAGCCTTAGCTGTACTTCCTTAGTCTTTATTTTGTGTTACTTTCCTTAGCAGAATTGTCTCTGAGTTTATGAAAATGAGAGCAGGGTCCAGGAACAGGTGATAAAGTTAGGCATTGAAAGTCGCAGGAAGTGTGAAAATTGCCTAGAAATGAAGAAAGAGATGTTCAAAACGACTGAGGCCCCTTTGCCTCAGTGATGCAGCCTAGTGTAATTATGGCAACTTTAGTATGAGGGTTTGGGGCTGGCATCAGAAAGTTAGGGAGCCCCCTGCGTAGGGTAGCAGGAAGGTGTCTTTGTTGTTTTTAAGACAGTCTCATTATGTAGCCCAGGCCGGCCTCAGACTCTCAGCACTGCTCCTGCCTCTGGGATTGCAGGTGTGTGCCACCACACCTGGTCATTTTTTTAAAAAAGATTGTATATTTGCTTTTCCAAGTGTACCACCAGTGTCTTGTCATCCACTGCACTCCATAGCTTATTTTAAATGAGTTTCTGTTTTTAACCATCTCTCTCAAATCCTACTTACAGACCACTTTGTGTTAGCCAGTGGCATATTCATTAGCTTTCTTGACAAAGATAATTACCTTAATCGTGCATACGAATTGATGTTTGTTATAAAATACAACCAAGATCCCAAAGAACAGTAAGTTTACAACTAGATTTAAAATGTGTACATGGGAAAGATAATGAGGGGCTGGGGATTTAGTTCAGCGGCAAAAGCGCCTGCCTGGCAAGCGCAAGGTCGTGAGTTCGGTTCCCGGTACCGGAGAAAAACCAAAACAAAAAAAAAAAAAAAAAAGAAAGATAATGAGTCTTAGATGACAGGATTGTGGGTAGATTTTAAATAATGCTTATTGACATGCTGTATTTTAATAGGTTTAGAATAAAATGTACTTTTGGCAGTTAGGTGTAACCCAACTCAGGAATTGTGTTCATTTGTAATAACAGACACGTGTTCATAAGTAATACAAGGATAACTGCATAAAATTTGGAAAAAGAAAAGGCAGTGATAAATTATATTACCACTGCAGAATGCACTCAGCAAACTTACCTTTAAGGCTTATCGTGTGCCTGTGCTTCGAGTTCATGTTGCGGTGTGGCAGACAGGTTGGAAAGTGAAGAAGCATTTGGATGTGTGCAGAAAGAGTAGGCAGTTGCCAGGTTGGAGGGTACCACAGGGTGAGAGCAAACTGAGCTGGTAGACATCCAAGCCAGGTGAACAGGCTTGGGAAATGCAAGGAGGGGGAGGTAAGTTCAAGAACAAGTTGCAGTTGGAAGAGCTTGGGGAGTTTTTTTTAAATGCTGAGTAACTTTTTCCTTGGAGCTCTGTATATCCACCTCCCGATGGGTCTATCAGTAGATTACCCCACACCCCCAGTCTATCCCTAGAAATGAAACCTCTTAGGAAAATGGGGATAGATGGGTGCCTCCTTAATAGAGTGATCTTCAGTTGCTAAGACTCAGAATTTTGCACTAGTGAAATAGTGGGAAAAGCTCTTATTATAGTAGATACACATGCGTGTGTAATAGAATAATGTAAAATCAGCTGGCAAGAATAAAACAGATGCATGGGTACTGTCACAGGAAGAGTACCTGATACAGTGACAAAGCAAGGCCTAAAACTGTAGGCACAGCGTGAACCCATGTGTGTGGAAGATAAATTTTGAAACTGCCCTTCATTATGTATTTGCTCAGACATAAACACATAGCGAAAAGGTCTTCGAGAATACGTGTGTAGCTGGTAAGGGAAGGGGGAAGTGGCTTGCTTTCTTGCTTAGTCTTATTTCACTATGTGTATATCTTTCTCTTTTATTCTGTATGTTTTCTATTGCAAATACAGTGGAGTGTGAATGTGTTAATGTGTAGTGTGCACTGTGTACAGGACCATGAGCATGTGGATAGGTGCACTCTGAAACCCAAAGCTGACTGTATCAAATGGTAAGGTGCTAGGTGATTCCATTTGACTCGAGAATGAGACTTGAGAGTTGCATTGGTCTTACTTGGCACCTTTTTTAAAGCTGTCCAGTGCTGTTGGGGAAGGAAGCAAGGGACATAAATATGGGAAAGGAATAGGCCAAAATGCTCATGCATCGA